CTGGCATACCATGTGTGAGCTGGGCAGCTATATAAATTTGTTTAATAAATAAATGAATCCTCTTATGTCCTGTGATCTTGAGCTTTAAGTTTAGATTTTGCTGGTTTTTAGTGCCTGGTGCAACAGTGTTATGCTTTTGTACTATTGTAGTTCACGTATTCCTACGTTTTGTTAAGGAACTCAGGTTACTTTAGACAGTACTCTTTCCTCCTGTTTTCCTGTTCAGTCCTGTGTGATTGGTTGGGCTGAGTAGAGAATACTATTGATATTAGCAGCCACATTTTTAGATCATTGTAGTCCAGCTATGATGACCCAGGGTGTGACATGAAAGCAACACAAGCAAAGAACAAGTTTATCTCCCCTTTATTGCGCCAACTGTGCCCCCAAACATTCCCACATTCACTACACCACATTCCACATTCCTGGAACAAAGCTCTCACACGCACCTTCAGAAACCTCTGGCTGCGAGTAGTCCAGTAAGCAAAGTTAGCCACACAGCAACCAGGGCCAGCAGTCCAGTAAGTCAGGTTAACCAAACAGCAATTAGGGCCAGCAGTCCAATAAGCCAGGTTAGCCAAACAGTAACCAGAGCAAGAAATTTAGCGAAGCAGGCAAACCGGGCAAGCCCCACAAGACACAGCACAGCAATCTCCAGGTGTTGGCAAGTGCACACAAGGCTCCACACATTCAATGTTTGTTCCCGACAAATGCCCCTTTCACCAGCACCTCCTTACATCTCAATCCCCAGGTGTGCCTTGTGAAAGCGGGTGGGGCACTTTCTTCTCTCATAGCCAGCTCAATCTGGGTTGATCTTGCTGTCTCTCTTCCCTCCTTGCTCTCGGATCAGGAGGGAGCAGTCCTTGCTCTTCACCTGAGCTCTCCCTGTCTATAGGCCTTACTAATTCAGAAAAGCCTTGCCTGGATGGACGAGTTTCCTCCAAGGCCAACAGAGCCGCCCTCTCAATTTGTCAGCTCTTGTTCCAGCTCATCTTCCCCCTCAGATTCAGACTCTGATGGGGGCATGACACCAGCAATGAACAACACACTTCTTCAGATGGCCTTGTGCCTGGGAGTAACACAAGCTGACCCAAAAAATGCTATTTAAGAATTTATTCAATAGGTAGATTGGAAAATCAGACTATGTGCTACCTGCCACCTAACCTATAGTAAAACTGGCTAATGGGATCATTTAAATTTCAATTGCTAACACTAGAAGCATTAAATTCCTAAAGTGTTTTTTATTTTGATTTCCAAGCAACTGTAATATCATTTTTATCTGAAGAGCCATCTCTCCCCAATGGGACAAGCCTGCCCTACTCACGTCAGAGGCCTGCTATGGATCCCATCTGCTAGGAATTGGAGCAGGCAGGATCGAGAAGAGCCTTTTTGGGTGTGGCCCATCTCTGTGGAACATTCTACCACTAGAGCTGAGAACAAACCTCACCCTTTTGGCCTTCCAGAATATTAAAACATGGCTTTGCCATGTGGCCTGTGACCCCAAGGACACTCACTACCAGTGGTGGCTGATGAGGTAAGACCTCATCCCCAACACATCTGGCTCTTAGCTCTCTTAGTTTCAGTTACAGCACAATTTTTGGTACTTTAATCTGGGTAACTTTACTATATTGTTTTAATTAATATACTGCATCTTCTATAAGGACACAGACTCAATTTGTAATACCTTACCTAATAAAATATCTGGAAAATACTGATCTTTTTTGTGTGCAACTATTATGAGTAAAAGTAGTTTCTTTGAATGTGGCTAAATTTTGCTATGTAAAATTACATACAAACTTATAAACTTTAACTGCCCACTGATAATCCACCACCAACCACAATATTAACTGCAATTTATTCTGTCTGCCTTTTATTTTTATTTTTTACTATTATTGTTGTTTTTAATGCTTTTGTTTGGGGTATTGGTCCATGACCATAATAAAGACTGTTGTAATAAATAAATACACTATTGTAAAATAATTCCCTTAGCCAAATTTGCTGAGCTAACATGGACTGCCACTCTACCTACTCTGGCAACTCTAAAATCAAAAGCAATGAAGACATTTCAAATTTGAAATAAAGCATGTCGCACATGTCTCTACACCTAACCGTGTAATTCCTCCTCTCACCACAAAACAAGCACCTCCTGAATCATTTAAAGCAGGGGTCCCCAACCACTGGGCCCCGGACCGGTACCAGTCCGTGGATCATTTTCTACCAGGCCGCTGGTTTGCTGGGCGCCGCCATCTTGTTTCGACGAGAAAGTGCTTCCGAGTGAGTTTTTCCAGTTGGAAAGCGGTGTTTGGGTCCTGAAGGAATCCTCGCGCCTTAGTTTCATCAAAGGGGGGGCGGCTTCAAACGAAGAGCCGTCCCGATGGCGGAGGAGATTAAGAAAACACAAAAAAGCACAAAAAAGGTACAAAGGAGGAGTTGAAGGTGGCGGAGAGAAGCGGGGGACGGCTGGCTGGCCGGTCGCTTGGCTCGCCTTGCCTTGTCATGCGTGCTGATGCCGGTACCGGGCCGCGAATCATTTTGTGATGCCGGTACTGGGCCGTGGCACAAAAAAGGTTGGGGGCCACTGATTTAAAGAACTCTCATTCAGATCTTAGATGCACTCGTGCCTTTTTTAATGCAATTATTTCACCCTGCCATTTTTCCAATTTCAAACAGCTTAAAAAGAGGCAATTTACAGTCTACTGAAGAACAGGCTAAGAGAAGCTCTTAAAGCGAACTCATCCTTAAATCATGCCTTTAAAGCTAAGAGATAGGAAATCTTTTTAAAGAAAACTCAAACTGTCTTAAAGAAGAAATGAGAACATCTTTCTCCTGTCCTGGCCACTTTTTACAGAGGCACAATTGAAGAGTGTTTTAACGAAGTGCATGATTGTCCATACATGTGTGTGGTAAGGACAGCCGAGAAGCTGAGAAGCTCGCTTCCTGTTAAGAGACCCCACACACCTACTTTATGGTCTGTTTCTGTTGCTCCCCTCTGGGAGGAGGTTTCCAAGTATTTCTAGCAGGACCACCAGATTTTGTAACAGCTTTGTTTATTTATTTATTTATTTATTTGATTTGCCAATTGTTTACAAGATAATAAGGTTAAGTGTATACATAGTTGTGAATACATGAAATGGGTACATATAAGAAAAATAAAAGAATAAGAGAAACAATAGGACAGGGACGGTAGGCACGTTGGTGCGCTTATGCACGCCCCCTACAGACCTCTTAGGAAAGGGGTGAGGTCAATAGTAGACAGTCTAAGGTTAAAGTTTTTGGGGTTTGGGGAAGAAACTACAGAGTCGGGTAGAGTATTCCAGACATTGACCACTCTATTGCTGAAGTCGTATTTCCTGCAATCAAGTTTGGTGCGGTTTACTTTGAGTTTGTATCTATTGTGTGCTCTTGTGTTGTTATGGTTGAAGCTGAAGTATTCATTGACAGGTAGGACATTGCAATGTATGATTTTATATACCATGCTTAAGTCAGACCGAAGACGGCGTAATTCAAGGTTTTCTAGTTCTAGAATTTCAAGACTGGTGGCATAAGGTATTCTACAACGAGTAGAGGAGTGGAGAACTCTTCTTGTGAAATATTTCTGGACTTTCTCAATTGTGCTAATATCAGATACGTAGTGTGGGTTCCAGACTGATGAACTGTATTCGAGTATTGGTCTAGCAAATGTTTTGTATGCTCTGGTTAGTAGTGTGATATTACCAGAGAAAAAGCTACGTAGGATTAGGTTAACAACTCTTAATGCCTTTTTGGCTATGTAGTTGCAGTGGGCTCTAGCACTTAGATCATTAGAGGTGAGTATTCCAAGGTCCTTTACAGAGCTTGGGTCATCAACAAGTTCTTGACTATTCAGCTTGTATTTTATTTTCTGATTTTTTTTGCCAATATGTAAGACAGAGCATTTATTTGTTGAGATTTGAAGTTGCCATTTGTTTGACCATTGTGATACATAGTCAAGATCTTTTTGTAGGGTAGCAGTATTGTCTGTGGTATTGAACAGCTTTACATCATCAGCGAAGAGAACGCAATTGCTCTTAATATGATCACAGAGGTCGTTTATGTAGAGTATGAAGAGAGTTGGTCCTAGAACACTGCCTTGGGGGACACCACTATTGACAGGTACTGGATTTGATAGGACGCTCCCGATTTTGACCATTTGTTGTCTGTTTGACAGGAATGCTTCTATCCAGTTATTCAGTTGTCCAGAGATACCATAGGATTTTATTTTTAGGAGTAGTTTGTCGTGTACCACTGAATCAAAGGCTTTACAGAAGTCTATGTAGATTGCGTCTATTGCTTTGTTCCCTATGCCATCTAGTAAAGTCGCAGGATAGTTTTTCTCGCTGGTGTACATGTATACATCCAAATTAGACTCTGCTGTTTCTCTGTGTCATCTATGTGGGTATGTGCATACTATTTATGCATTTATTTATTCATTTGTCACGGGTATGTAGTGTATGCAACGAACTGTATGCAACGAACTTTCAGTTTAACGCATGCCGATTAGTGTACGTTTAAAGCGACAATGAAGTTATTTTAAGTCTAAATTTGATTTGTGAAACATATATGACTATCGTTTGAAATGTCTGTCGTTCAGCAGGACTAGGAACGCCCGAAAAGCGCGCCAAGGGTCCTCGCACCAAAGAAGTAGCGGGGGCGGGGGGGCGGACTACACAGTCCGCGCCGCGCCGCGCCGCAGAGACTTGAAGAACGTAGGAAGGCTTTGGTATCCGTGCCTGAAGTCGAACAGTGTCCACTTCCATCCTCAGCAGGGAAAAACACCCCGCTTTTCCACCCTTAGCCTGAATTCCAGCAGCCCCATTACGGAGAACCGACGCCACTCATCCTGCCTGATTTCAGCCGCTACCAAAACACACAAGAGACAAACTTGCAAAGGCCGCATCGTCTCCCGTTGAAATCTCGCGCGATGTCTAGGACGCCGCCCCTTGCGGGATCTCGCGCCTCCCCTCCTTCTCGCGAGGGGCGGGACTCTGGTCACTGTCAGAGCGGCCTCCCGGAGGCTGCGGGGTCCCGGCGGCGCCTTTGCGGGCCGGCGCGGACTTTCTTGTTCTCGGCGCCAACCTCTTGTTGGAGGGAGAAGACGCTTCCTGCCGGCTCCTTACGGCTCGTGCTTGGCTGTCTGCGAGAGACCTGATCTCTCTGACTGTAAGCACAACCGGGAGAAAAAGAGGCGCGCGTGTTGGCTCGGATGAGAGCGCGGGGCTGTTGGGCCACCTTCATGCCGTTAAACAAGCCTGTGGCTGAAGGCCAGTGGCGCCGAATGAGCAGCGGGCTGCAGGACAGATTTGTGGCGGGAGCTGTTATGACTTATTGCTTGATGGAGGGTGGTCCTGAACCTTCGGGATTTGTCTTCCAAAGCGTTATATAGCGCTTGTCAGGAATGGAGACTGACTGACTGTTGAGCTTTGTGTTTCCCAGGTATACCGCGTTACTTGGAAACGAGGGAAAGTTTTTCTGTCGCGGGGAGCGCATCAGTTGTAATTTGGCTTCATTTGGTTGTTCTTTAGAAGTGGAGGTTGAAACTTGTTTATATAGAAACAACAAATTTTTTTAAAAAAATCTGGAGCTAATATTTTCTTACCTTATTGTAATGCTCAAAAACAATTTAAAAACCCTTTGAAGTGTGCTGGGGGAGAAACTCATGCAGATGTCATTCTGAAAGGGCAGAAGGGAAGGCTTCAGTAACAAAGGTAACAGCAGCTGCCCTTCTCACCTGAATTGTCATTCTTGAGCCAAGATGATGAACCTCTGAACAACCGGGGTCACAAGAAGCTAGAAATGCTGCAGAGGCCCAGGGAAAGTTTTCCTTTTTCCTGTCGTCTTTCTTTTTATTTATTAGAATATACAATACAAAGGTAAATGAAAACAATGGGAAAGTAAGGGAGAGAAAAGACAAGAGAGGGAAATGTAGGGGGGAAATGAAGAAGGGCATTGACTTCTGACTTTTTAGCACAGTAGAATAACATACAGTCTCAACTTTTTATTTTTACATAGTAGTATATACTAACCATTTCTACAACAACAAACTTACCTCATCAGCAAAACCCAAAGTCACTGTTTCATTTTTCCCCCTCTCTGTAATAAAGTCCAAAAGCGGTTTCCAAGTGGATTATTCTATTTATGTCTTGACATAATCAAAAACTATCTTGGTGGCAATTCTATTTGATATTCTCATTCTATATAGCCTTTACTTAAAATACACGGAATTAAATACAACTCTCTGTTTGAAAGGCCATATTGTAAAAGCCATTTCAAGAAAATTTGGAACATAGCATCCAACTACTTGAAATAGAATAGTAGCTATCATCTTCTCTGCCTAATGATAAAGACATTGGATACATGAATTTCTTGTTAAAATTATATCCTTTCTCTGTGCTTTGATCTCTTTGAAAGGTAAAGATAATAAGTTGTAGATAGTAGCATCTCTTCATTCTTCTTTTCATTCTTTCAAATATTTAGTCCCTTTCTGCATTATGATTCCCACTTTATAGGAGGATTATTCTTATTTTCTGTTTCTTATACCTTATCCTGTAGTTGGGAACAGGAAGGACATGGCAACACATTCCCAGATCCCTGCAGGAGAGCCATGGCTTATGATGACTCCAAGGAAAAAAAAGCTAGGATTGTTTCATAATCTAAGCGATGTTGCAAAAAGTATACTAGTTTACCCATGTCTAGGGGAAAAAATCCAGTGCCTTGCATGGATTGGGTGTTTTTCATATCCTTTCTCCTTATTCTCAAATTTGAGGGAATCAGGACTGGAACAAGAATGTCACAAAGAATAGTGTAGAATGTTGACAGGGTAGAATTTTGTCTTAATTCTATCAGCTCCAAACAATAATAATTCAATTTAGAGACTGAAAGCATAACTTCTGCATGGCAGAATACTAATATCTATGTCCTTGATTATACGAGCAGCCTTTTCGATTCTTATAGGGAAGGAATTGAGTAAAAAAAACATACTTACAACTTAGAACCACTGATGTTTAAGTGTGAATGGGTGTCTTCCTGTCTTGTATGCTTTCTTTTCTGCATCATTTATTTGGAGCCATAATGTGGTATCTTATAATGAAAGCTTCCCTTCATCAATTGCATTCCTTTCTTAGGTAATAACTAAATAGATGATGTGGGATTAGCAACTAGCAGAACCCCAAAATAAAAGAAACATTCCTGTAAGGATCTACTTCCAGAAAAGAAAAAGACAGCTGCTAAAGTCAGGGGGAATACAGAAAATAAGAGGTGAGAGAACTGAAGATGAGAGAACTGAGAGAGAATGATACATTTTTTTACTCTGATTTTGTTAAAATGGTAACAGTTGAATTAGGAGTGAATTGACAGTGAGTTTATTGTTCAGTGCCATTATTTCATTAACTGAAATACAAGTTTCAGTATCTAAAAGAATAATTATGAATGTTTATTGTTATTACCATTGCTACTAATATTACTATTTCATTTTATATTCCATTTTTCTGCCCGTGGGAATTCCATTCTGAAAAGTGGCAAGAATGGGGACCAAGTGTAGCTCCTGAGGGACTATCCATGGCTTGAGAACAAGAGAAACTACTGTGATCCAGCAAACAGACCTTGAAAAGTAAAGGCAACTTCAAGAGAGTTTCTTTTGCATTTTGTAGCAAAAGTTCTATTGGATAGGATAGATCTAAGACACTGGATGTTAAAACAAGAGTGTTAACCTGTTTTACAGAATAATTGGCAATAAGTGCTGAACTTTTTAACACAAGTGTAATATACATCCAGTATCATGCATGCTCTGCTGCCTTTTTCACTAATTGAAATTTCCAGAATATTCAAAAATTCTAGAATACATAAGCATCATGTAAAATACATTGCTGTGATCAGTTTGGGATGTAGCCCAGACCTGTATAAATGTATGTATTTATTATTAAATGATGTCGGACCCAATTAGATGTACCTTTCACCAGTTTGAATGTTAAAAATGGCTGAAAAGCACTCCCAGCTATTGCAGACCTATTCTTTGAAGTAGTGTTTTACTATCCAGAATAAGGTAAACCCCAATCCTGATCCAGGTTTCCTGTAGCCCAGCAGCACTTTTCACATGTTTGAATTTAATTTCAGCTTTTTAACTTTGACCATTGTTGAAGTTAAGTAAACGTCTAAGAACTCAAGAAGTTCTTATTGTTATTATGTAAAATACTGTGGAGTAAGTGAAAAAAATGACAATAAAATAAAAATACTTTTGCTGAATTCATCCATTCAGTGAAGCATTCTGTTTCCAAAGCTGATTAGTGGGATTTGAATTATAAACAGATCATTATGAAGGTCATAATTTCTGTTCCCTTCCTCTATTGTTCAGATATGCTACTTTAAATATAAAAGATTTAATGTAAGCATATGGGGAGGGGAGGAATAGGGAATAATTTCTGGGAAAGGTTCACAGTTTTTCTTTAAAACAATAATTCATTTTTTCATGATTTTTGGTTTTCTAATGGGAAAGCACATTTTTTTAAAAAAATGTATTCAGTTTTCTCTTGAGGGATAATTTTTCAAATCAGAATGGTTCCAATCTACTTCCATTTTGTAATCACAAGATACCATGTGATCAAAATGAAGTACGCTAAGTATATACAGCTTCCAGTATTAACTATATCAGAATCAAGATCTCTGATTCTGTTTTTCTCAGATATCTAATTTATATTACTTAAATGAAAACTCTTTTCTTTGCAGGAGAGCAACTTCTTGCTGGGGACAGAGTCAGATAAAAGAGGAAGTACTCTTCTAACAAAAATTGTTATAGAGGTATGGTTGGCAATAAAACTCGGGATATGATGAAGGAAAACATTTACACCTCTAAATATCTAATCATACTTTATAAAATGTATGATTATATTTCTTGAAGATAGCATAAGGGATAGGGCCATTTTGTTCTACACGCGTCATCTAAAACCTGATAGAAGATTAAATTTAAAAGAATTAGCATGATATCTCTCTTCAGTTATCAAAATAATTATAAAATTGTGATGGTAGTAATTTGGCATTAGTTAAAAATATAGACACAGCCAAAAGATGATCTAGGCAATAAAAGAACATTTCAATAACAGAGAATGGGAAAGTTACAGACGAGAAACAGTGTTCCTGATAACTGAAGTCAAACTGTTTGGAAAAATATAGGAAATTTGTGGACGTTTAAAAATAACAAGAAATAATACCATTCAGAGAAAAATGTATATAATAACTAATATTTAACTCAAATCTTCCCAGTCTTTCACAGTTCACAATCCTTAGTGCCTCAGTAATTTTTACACAGCCAAAAGAAATACCCAAGTTCTGTTTATTAAATCATTAGGTCCAAACAACATATTATATCCTAACTATTTAGTAATCAATTGACAAAAATAATTAACATAAATTGAAAGAAAATATATGTTTACTTCATTCTTAAATAACCATGCTTACTTACTAATAGGTTTTGTTCCATTCTTGGGCACTGCACAGTTTCTTAAAGTTTGGAATCAGATTGGACACCATCATCTTCATTTGCTGCTCCACATTGATTTTTGTATGTTATTTGCTTTTTATCACAGCCACCACCAGAAACCCAGCTTTGCAAATGAACATCACAAAAATATAAAATATTCCATGGCATCGCTGTGACTCCAAGAGATTACAACCATCATAAATACATGCTGGTTGCCAAGCACCCAAATTTGATCACATGATTATGGGAATGTTATTTCTCATGATCTGATGATCATAACCTGAAAACTACCTGTACCTTCACTAGCTAAATTTACAGGATTTTCCAAGCTTCCCAAGCACTGTTCTTCAGGATTTCAAGCTACTGGATGTGACTTTCTGTTCAGCTGAATTAATCAAAATGTGTTCTTTCTGGTCACTTTCTCACTTTTTGGTCATTTTCCCCTTCTTCAGCTAATCACTTACTATTGGTAAAGATTATATGTATGATAGCAGGCTTTCTTATTCCCTCTTCCATGTTCTGACAAAGTTGTTAACAGGAAAGCCGTTAACAAGAAAGGAGGTTGTGAGATCTCTAATGCTGGGCAGAGTTTGAATATCCAACCTGGGTCAGGATAGATAAAAGCACTTATTGTTGCTATCATGTGGCTCTTGTAAGCTTGTATATCTGACCACAACAATTTCATCCCTATCTATGTTGTCTATCAAGCAATCTATAATAATGATATTTTGTTATGAATTTCTGTACAGATATACATTTTCTTTATGTACAGTGCAATACAACCTCTCTTTATTGTTACAATAAAATGATTTATAAGATACAACCAGAGCTATGTGTCCATCATGTGTCACTAAGTTCAGTAACGCCTATGAAATATTTGATATCTTGTATGAAGTGTTTCAGGTAATATAATTCATCCATACATGAATCACCTTCCACATGTTAGACCTCTGCTACGTTGGTTCTGCAAAGAATCGCCAATCACCACTTCTTCCTTATTTGGTTTCTTTGACCTATTGGGTCCTGAATCTCTTCCACCTTATTCCAAGAAATCAGAGTTAGCATGCTTTATTAGGGTAACCATGAATTGTCTTCTAGAACAAAACCAGCTGCCAAATTCTCTTGCTTTTTGGGGCGTCACATTTTTCTACTTGTCTTCCCCTTCTCTGGTGTTCACTTTTCTGTTTCTCTCCTGAGGAGTTTCATCTGTCTTGTCCAGGAACTTCTCACATTTCCAGGTGTGGTAAAACCGTGCTCCAGCATAGCACTCAGTAATTAACTACAATCAACAGTGCAATCAAAAATTCAGCAATCAATAGATGTTAGGAACCAGTAGTAATCATTGAGCAACCTTCTCAACCTTCTTGCTCTCTTATCTCTTTTCTCTCAAATGGCTTCTAAAAATACCTAAATTGGTTTCTAGTCTATCTGATTAATGTTGCATTAATTTAATCACAATTTATGATGTCAGCCTTTAAAAGTAATCAGGTGGATCAAAATATTGCTACTAGTGTAATTTGTATTGGACATCATGAGTATATTAAGAGTATTCCATCATGTTCACCAGGTGCCATTATATTTTTGAGTCTACATCAAAGTATTGCTTTTGATCTCTAAAAGCTTTCTGGTTCTTGATATTTGAAGAGCTTACACACACACACACACACACACACCCCTTAATCAAGATCCAAACATATTTATCTAAGAAAGGCAAAAGCGCAGATGAACATTCTCTTAGGAGTTCCATGAGGAGGGAGTGTCAAAACAGTAAAGATGGCAGGTGTGATTGTACAGTTGAAGCCCTGCTCTTTTTTTAATGGTTGTAATGTCTATTTAAAACAGTGCAAGGGTCTAATCATATTACCTATCTTGAGGGTATTCAGTTAGTTGTGGAAATCCCTGTTGCAGAAAATCGGCCAGGTACCTGTTTAATATATTTCTGGCCCTAGACAAAAACTTCTCAGTTGTTTTAGATATTTTATGTTTTAGTTTTTGCTTCTTCAACCCTTTCCTCTGACTTCTGATTTCTTACTCTAAATACTGTTTTCTGTTCCTTACATAATATAATTTTGGATATTGATAATATATTATATTTTGCAATTTTCCTTTCTTGCAAATCCAGGAAGTGAGGTATAAGATGTTCAATAAATTGTTGCATTATTTATAGAATTCACTAAAAGAGAATATAATATTGTGAATATAAAATTAATAATATCTAGGGCCAAATCCTGGGTAAGAACAGCAACTGAAGTTTTCCATCTGGATAGTTGAATAATCTGATGTTAGTTTGTAAATAAAGATACAGTTGATTTTGACATCCTGTGCATGTACTTATTTTTACCTCTTTTCTCTGTATTCTAGACTTTTGTCCTTTTGAACTTTCCCTGCCTTTGGACTCATCATGAAAGAATAGAAAAAAAGTATTTTTTTCCATTCTCTGCTAACATTGCCATGGATTTGCTTAAAGCCATCAACACTCCTTTAGCCACCAGCTCCAAATCATCTAAAAGGACTTTGGAAAAATCATCTCATTCTTCATTCAGTGCTCCCAGTTATTCGGAGGGTAAGAAGGAACATCACAAGAAGAAGCTGAGTGGAAGCAGCGATCCACCCTTGGATGATGGTACTTTCCACAAGTCCAAAAAAATAAAACAACCATATGTTAACACTGAAATGCTGACCTTACGTGAGCCTGATGGCTTAAAAATGAAGCTAATCCTCTCACCAAAAGAGAAAGGGGGTACCATAACAGAAGATCCCTTTCCACATTCTGGAGCTACAAAAAAGACCGCTAAGAAACCTGTTCGGGATGAACAAAGCTCGCAGCCCTCAAGCCATGATACACACAGCTTCCTGAAATCCCGTAAGAAGCACAAGCCACCTACAGATCCCCATCACCTTTCTCCTGCTGAGGGATTCAGCTCAGACACATCCCTCTTCCCTGAAGGCCAAAGCAGTGATTTTGAGCTTTCAAACTTGGAACCACAAATGGAATCTGGATCATCATCTGGAGGTGAGTTGGAAGCTGGTGAACTAGTCATTGATGATTCATATCGGGAGATAAAAAAGAAAAAGAAATCAAAGAAGAGTAAAAAGAAGAAAGACAAGGAGAAACACAAGGAGAAAAAACACTCTAAATTGAAGAAGAGTTCTGGACTCTCTTCATCACCAGCAGCAGTGGAAATAACACCACAACTGCCTGTTTCTCCAGCTAGCATCCAGTTTGTTCTACATGCCCCTCCTCCTTCTCCCTCACCACTACCACCTGTTTTCTGTACAGATAGCCTGAATGAGAAGAAGAAGAAGAAAGAAGAAAAAGAGAAGATTGAGAAAATAGAAAAAGAAAAGGTAAAACTGCATAGCAAGTGAGTACTATAAGTTATGATTGATTCTTGTAATAACGAATTCAAAATGTTTTTTGTAACTCCAGATTTGAAGCCATAATCTATTAAATCTAGAGTTTTTGTGTTGCAAATGTTTTAGGTTCTGTCTTTTTTCATTATCATTATGAAGGCATTAAGAAATACTGCATTTTCCCCTCCAACTATAAAACTGTGGTTTGTTTTAAAAAATATACTACATAACAAAAACTTCAGCTCAGATACTAATGTATAAAGATGTGAACTATGAGATGGTTTTTCAGGTATTTCAGTAGGCATTAGAAACAAATTGAAACTAGTACATACTGTAAAATATTACCTCCCTCCCCCTTTTTTCTAATTAGCCAAAGAAGAAAAATATGTCTGCCTACCAAGTATTCTGTAAGGAATATCGTGTGAACATTGTGGCTGAGCATCCAGGAATAGGTAAAATAACAGCCCTGTAAGGGTTGAGTTTTTGTTGTTTGCTTAAAATTCAACCTCTCTTATATTTTCTTTAACTTATTTGCATAAAGGTTAAAATATTCATTTGAGCAGTAAGTAAGGAGATTATGCACATGCTTATAGAGACACATTTTTAAAATACGCACTTTCAGGAAGAGATACTTTCTCATAAGTCTCACAATGAGAAAGTACATTTTTAGTGATACCATCTGCATTTCATATTCAAACATAAAAAGACATTTTAGCTGGTTGCCGAAAAACACAAAACTCATCATTACATGAATCGTCCTGATGGGAAGATTCCAGATTCGAGATGTCACCTCTAAATTTCCAATTAGTCTTTTCCTCGTTATTAATAACATTAGAACCCAGAGAAGAATATTTGATACTTACTGTAATAACTTGTCTGGCTATCTTTAAATTAGAATTATAAAGAATCAATTTTAAAGATATTTCCCAGTTCTATTCTAGTGCTTGTGGTTTAAAACAGTTGCAGTTTGTTGTAAGGGCAGGCCCACATAAAACATACTACAATAATTTATATTTTGGCATAAAACAGGGCAAACAGCTTTTAAATTCTCAAGACAACATGGCCAATCGTAATTCGGGTTCCCTTTGTCTTGTTACACAGTTTTTGAATTAAGCAAGTTGTCAGACAGTGTAGCTAGGTGCAAATGTTGAAACCATCTTTAATATTTTTACAGTGTAGGGAACTTTTTGTATAAGGAAAAAAATAAAAGTAAATATTAAGTTTTTATTCAAGACAATTCAGTACTCACTACCTCTTAGTTCAGGTAAGTACATGTACTGTAGGATTACTACTTATTGTAAAATAATTACTTCAGCAGATGCTCTTTTAATTCTTAGTAAAACTAAATAGTTTGGTTAAAGTATAAATTGATTTCCTCTCGGCTCAGTTAAATGTTGATGACTTTTATATCATAAATTTAAAAAATGGTTGCCATCGTAGCTATAATCAAATATGTTAGTAATTACATTTGCAGTACCAAAAGACAAGCATACTAATTTTTGTTAAATATCTAAATAAATTAATAGTACATTCACACTTATCAGTAAGAATTTGTTTTACTGATCCCCTAATAAAATCAGGATAACTAAATATCTATTATTTTGTTCTTTTAGTAGGCAGATGCACCAGTTCCTTTCATACAATTTTTTTTTTAGAACTGCTTGCAGTCTTATGGTAGTAATTTCTATAGCCAAAATATATAAAATCATTCATTTTGGGATGCTGTTGCTTTCTACATTTAATATAAAATCTGACATTGTTACATGTGTTGTCAATATGTCTTATAATGGATTTGGTGATTAAATGTTCATGAATCAGATTCCCCATTAAAATTAGAAACTAACTGCTTTTATTCTGAACCACCTTCTCTGATTTCTTGCTAGATTTTGGTGAGCTGAGCAAAAAGCTAGCAGAGGTTTGGAAACAGCTTCCAGAGAAAGATAAACTGGTAAATATTTGAGAAGAAATTTTAAAAAGAAATCTGAGTTGGGCTTACGCCCGGGATGATGCCACCATGGTGCTTGCATTAATTTACTCCCCAGGGTAGTTTATGTATAGCAGTCCCCATCACATTTAATAATTATGACATGCTTGGGATCTAAGTACTGTATTCTTAACTATGTGGGCTGCATATTTTGCTAATCAATTGCCTAAACAATGCAGTTTTCAGTTCGGTTTTGTTTTCCCTATTTCCTATTTCTCTAGGTTTGGAAGCAGAAGGCTCAATATTTGCAACATAAGCAGAATAAAGCAGAAGCGACAACAGTGAAGAGGAAAGCAATGTCATCAGAAGGTTCCCCAAAATTGAAAGGTAGTTTCCACATTCCATTACATTCATATGTTTTCCTCCCAAGATAATTCTTATCATTATAACTAAATATATTGGGATATTTACCTATTTTATCAAACTGTTCCAAGATTCCACACATGAATTTTATCATTAACAGATGATAAGATGATCTGGTGAGAAATTGGCAGATACTGGCTTTGGTTTTCTCCCAGAGCTCAGAATTCAAATATGAAATTCTGAGAAATATCAGAAAAGCTGCTTTAGGCCAGGATTGCTATTAGTCAGACTATCTAGATAGAATAAGTCTACATAGATTAGAACAATGAATTAAATACCAAAACATCATAGGCACCAAAAATGTAAATTTGTTTCATTTTTTGATAATTGTGTATTAAACTGATTTGACTTTTAGATGATTGCCTTTTTGAAATAAAGCAATAGATGGAAGGGTATGAGAGATCTAGGAAAGCATTGGTTGAGGAGTTGAGTTATCTGAGAAGAACACAGTCCAAACAGTATATTCAAAGAGACTCCACTTAAATTAATTCATTGTGACCAAAGTTGAGAATTTAGTTTTGCTGTTGTCAAGATTTTATTTTAATCCAGACTTAATGATATTTTCTTGAACTCTCTATTATTCTTGCTTTTATCACCTAAGTAGAGTTTGAACTAATCACAAAAGATTCTTATTCAGTCAAAACCTTTTAACTCCCTGAATTGAACAATTAATACAAAATATTCACAATGTGAAATAGGCACAAATATGAAAAGAGGGAATTTTGGTGGAGCAGTGATTGGAGAGCCGTCTTTCCCAATCTGATGCTGTCCATGTATGTTAGTTTTCATGCCCCACAACTACCTGGAAATTGTGAAAATTCAAATACAATATAACAGAAGGTTAACAGTTTAGGGAAAGCTTTGGACAGAGCCAACAAAGCATGAGTTATTTGATTTGTGAGGGAATTTGATAATAATTATTAAACCTCTATGTTTTCTGGATCTCTGGGCAGCTTTTCCAGCTCTTCTTTTTCCAAAAGGCATGAATTAGACATGTTCATGTTTATGAGATATTTTCCTGTTTTAAATTTTTTGTATATTGTATAAGGTGTACAATTTTAAAACTATTTTATTGTCTTTTTCAGCTTCTCTAACAAGCGTGCCTTCACCCCATAAAAAATCCCCAACTAGCACGATGGTATTATCCTCTTCACCAGTGAAGTTTCCTGAGACAGATCCCATTGATGTAGCTGCACATCTGCAATTACTGGGAGAGTCTCTGAGTCTTATTGGCCACAGACTGCAGGAGACTGAAGTAAGTACAATAGCTATCATGCAGTTTCATTCCACTTTAATATTTGTATAAAGAATACAAGATCTTTTATTAGGCAATAGTGAGTGGAAACACATTTTAAGTCTACAACAGACAGATATTTCGAAGCAGTTCAGATAGGCATCTCCCTAATTCAGGCTTATAATGAGGAAGAAGCACAGTCAGACTTGCATGGTGTTATTATTATAGCCAATCTTAATAAAAGTAGTATTACCCTTCCTGTGTAGTTGCTTTCTTGGTCTAGTCTACCTAGTAGGGTTGACAATATTGTTCTTCAGTCAGATCACATGGGGCCTTCAGTTCTAGTTTTCAGCATCCTAAGATTATTTTGCAGATCTCTACTTTTGGTAATGAGTTTTCATTTTAAAAAACAAACCATTGAAATAAATCTAACTCACCTACAAAAATTGGAGTTGAAAATTCCAGCTCCAAATCCTGTAGTAAATAGTTAAGGTTAATGGCAATCGCAATCCTGAAAAAATCTGGAGTATGCTATGTTGTAGAAGATTGTACTGTAATCTGCAAAATTCAGCAGATTATATATTGATAAACATATTCCATATATTTATTGTATTTACCTCTTAAACATAAAGGAAGAGAGCAGTGCCAAGAAATAACAATTCTATTATCCATCTTATATGTCCCCATTTCACAACTACAAATTTATCTATATTATTCCCCAGCACCTTGCAGAATCCCCTCTTCCAGTATCATTAAACCATTATCTCTGTGTAAGAAATTTACCCCCATTTTTTAAAGTTCCCATATTCCTTTGTTCCCAAATCCTGTTTTTTTTCCCTTCTTTCCCCTAACATTTCCCCCTTTATTATTTCACTCCAGTGTTTGATTCCCTCTCTATTTTTAGCTACTTTCCACCTTTTGAATTTCTACTTATTCTTTTCCCCTTTTGTTCTTTTCCGGATATTTCCCTCTTTATTCAATTTCCCAAACCTCCAATATTTATTCCCAATTCTTTTTCTGTTTCCTTCTGGATTCCTTTGTTCTCAATAGTGATTAAAGATAGCCTCTTCTGAAATTTGCTGCACCTCTTCTTCTGTACTTCGTCTTTGTTGTTCATACTCTGCAATCGCCTCTTCAAAAAATTTAAAAACGAAGCCCAAAGTTTCACCTCTTTCTTGTAAAGTTTCCTTAATGTTTCCAAGTTCCATTTTTAGAGCCTGAAAGGATATCGCCATTTTACAATTTTCTATTTAATCCAGTTAATGTCTTTGAAGTTGATTTCCAACAGTCCGCTTTTGTTTCTCAACTTTTAGTCCTCAGCTGGTCCAATACCAAGTCCATAACAGAATCAACAATTAATCCAAGGGCAGTACCTTCCTATGTCTTTCTTTATTTCAATATTTCAATTTTCCAAAACTTTATTTTATTATATCAATTTTCCTTATATTTTTAAGAAACAGAATCTTTTTTTAAAAAAAAGTCAAGTTGAATTTAACTCAGGTGGCACTCTTTATTCTAACAAATCCACACCTCCTCTTTTCTTTTCCTTCCCAATTATTCAGAACTTTTCAAACCACAATCTTCCAAAAAGATAAGTTTCCTCTTTAGCGATCTATAGTTCAGCTTGAATTAGTGCTTATATAAAATCAAGATACACTCATCCAAGTTAGTTGTGTAATTCCTTCTGCAGCTTCTACCTCTCTCAGCTTGAAGCCCCATCACTGTCAAAGGCAATTCACACCTTTTTTAAAACTTCTTTCAATTCGCCGCTTGAGTCCTTTCTTAAAGATACTTTGTAATGTTAATCCAGAGGTTAATTTCCATTTAATTATATCATCCCGTTCCTCCTGCTGTTCGCTTCTTCCACTCTCTCCTGCCCAATACTTTTTCCAGTCTAATCCTCCCCTTCAGGGTGGCCATTTTAGACCACCACTTCAGGCGTCTTTGGGAAGGAGCTTTGCCAAACCAGGGAGGGGATTTGCGGCTCCCCTCTACCCGGCTGATGGTCTCCCCTTCCTCTGCCGCCCATATGAAGCAGCTTCTGCCCCAAATCTAAAAGATCGGGGCTCTCTGACTCTGAAGCACGGACCAAAGCCGCGCACAATCGCGGTCAGCGGTCCATCTTCAGGGAGGCTCAAAACCGGAAGCCCAAAATTCGGCATTATTGTAATAAGGTTGATATAACGCTACTTCTGCTTCTTATAAATCATGAAGTTTCTAACCTACAGTACATTGTTCAGAGTTGCCATTGATTGTTTAAAAACTGAAATTACTTTAAAAAGAAGAAAACAAAGAAGGAATAATTATCATTATTTAGCATGAAAAATTACCTCATCCAAAGATCTGAACTTATCTGGTAGAGGCAATCGGAAGGTGAATTAGAATAGACCAAAGAAAATATTTGTCATACAGCAGCTAATTAAACTCTGGCTCATATTCACAGGATATGACACGATACCAATGGATACAAACAAAAATTAATGAAGAACAGATTGTATCAAAAGCTGTTAACCTTGGAGATGGAAAGTAATTTCCAACCTCCAAATATCAAATTGGTAGGGGAAATATCGGAAGTAGGCTATTTCTCTACTTCCTGCTGAGAGCATCTCAGAAGCACCTGGTTGTCTAAGAAACAAAATGCTAGAGGAAAATGGAACTTCTGACCTACCATGATCTTCTAACCGATTTATGGCATTACAAACTACCCTGTAGAACAGACTATACTAAGAAGCTGCCTAAGGGGGAAGGAAGCACGAAAGCTCTCCATATTAGATTTATTTTTTTAGCCTGCTAAAGTACAGTGCACTTAATTTGCTAACTGCACACCCAGTGAATATTTGGATTGAAAATCTACTTTGCTTGTGTATTTTATTAAGTGTTACATTTTGTGTATGCTATCTTATACATGTGTGGTACAGAATGTAGCCTTTCTTGCTTTCAGCAGAATTCATGTTCATTTCTCTGTGTGTGATTTCTCTGTAAAAGCTCTTTCGCAGAGCAGAATAGAGCTGCTGGGTTTGATAAAATCATGGTGGACTTAAAATAGGAAGGATACATTGATACTGATATTACATTAACAACTTTTCACATTCCTTTTTGGCCTCCCAGGGAATGGTAGCCGTATCAGGAAGTTTATCAGTACTCCTGGATTCAATTATTTGTGCTCTGGGCCCTTTGACTTGTCTCACATCCCAGTTACCTGAGCTAAATGGCTGCCCCAAACATGTTTTGGTAAGTTACACTTAATTACCAAGCTGTCTTATTATGCCTTAAAATTTAGTTGTGCAGGGTGTAAACAGAGATCCCATTCAGTATAGTAGTTGCATTCAGTGCTGCAGATGCAGGGGCAATGGGCAGGGCTGGGTCATGGGAATAGCAGGTGACAGAAGGTTGGCAGGCAGTCAAAAGGGCAGAGACAGTGGGAGAGATAGGCCGGTGAGTATTATATGAAATGGGAAATTGTCACATCTATTTCAGCCATTGTTGTTTTAAAACAAAGTAAATAGGAAAAATTATACTGAACCAAAAATTGAAGATTTGTTGTCAATTTGGGCAATGCAGAAGTGGGGCTGGGAACCCACAAGTTGCCTTTGGTGAGGCTTTGCTTAAATATTCTATTCAAGCAAAAAGTGTTTCACATTGTAATAAACATATTTAATTAATTTAATGTTTCTGTCTTTTCAGTCAAACACATTAGATAATATTGCCTACATAATGCCCGGTCTTTGACAAAAAAAGTGAATATGGAAAATAATCTGCTGTGCTACTGGTTTGTACACATATATATTGCATTCTTCAAGTCTCAACCTACAGAATTTTAAAGTCTTTTGTCAATAACTGTTTAACTTGATTTTATGAAAAAAGTCCAGAACTTAAATTTACAAGAATTGGAGGATGTTTTAAGTCTGTGTGTTTCTATGTAACTAGAGTTTAGTAATTTTTTTATATATCAGCCTTAATATAAAAGGAAAAAGATATATTGAATTATTTTAATTAGAAATGTCAAGCAAGTTTGGGGCAGACAAGTACCATGGACCCAGTACCACTAATATTTTAACTATAAAACAGAGCCCTGGTGGTGCAGTGATTAAAGAGCAGTGTTGCAGGCAAACTCTGCCCAGAGCCTTGAGTTTGATCCTGACAGGGCTCAAGGTTGACTCATCCTTCCATCCTCTCAAGAACGGTAAAATGAGGGCCTAGCCCTAGACTGTTGGGGCAATATGCAAATAATGCTTCAACACTGTAAACTGTCCAGAGAGTGATGTAAGCACTATGGGGCAGTATATAAGCCTAAATGTTATTGCTACTGCTATAAAATAGTATTACTTTAAGTGGAGACAATGGAATGGAGAAAAATAATACACATGTTGTTCAAATTAATGATGAGAAGAAATTGTCCTATCCCTAAAGAACTGTTCTGACATTAGGAATTCTTATTAAGTGTTGCATTCATTGATTGTCAGGGCTACATGCAAATGTGAGAGTGAATGAAATCAACTCATTAAAATGGTTACTATTTTAATGTGACTGCTTAAAGCAGCTATATTTTTCTCCACACACACACTTGTTTCAATAAGTAGCAATGAGGTGCTAATTCATGTTTGTTCAAGTTTTGAAGCAATTCTTCCAAATCATTTTCAAACCATATATAGCACTAGTAATTACAGTATAGAAATGTAAAATTTTACACAATCTGAACATTGTGTAAAATTTTACATTTCTATACTGTAATTACTAGTGCTATATATGGTTTGAAAATGATTTGGAAGAATTGCTTCAAAACTTCACATTTAGATAGTGACTTCTGAAACTGTAGCTAAAACTATTGTCATAGAAGGCAAGAGCATTCCCCCAATTACGCAAATTCCAATTTAGCATTCTTATTACCAGCAAATTGACTTCTTTCTCTTATGGTGCTAATATTCATGTACAGGCAGTTAGAGAGGTGATATTGAACGATTTATTAATAAGAGGAAGAGAAATCTAACGCCTCAGCACAGGCTTAAGTGCTCTAAAATTCTTCTCTGGGAAAGCACTTCCATAGGATTAAGTATGGCATTCTTAATATAGGTATTTACATTTTTGAGTATGTATTTTTGTATATAGTTCTAATTAGAACACAAAATGTTCCTTTTATTATTGTTCAGAAACTATGTACAGGTAGTCCTAAATCTATGGTCAAAATTGAGCCCAACATTTATGTTGCTAAATGAGACAGTTGTTAAGTGATGTTTGCCTTTCTTGCCACAGTTAAGTGAATCACTGTAACTGTTAAGTTAGTAATGCTGTTGTTAAGTGAATCTATCTTCCCCATTGACTTTACTTGTCAGGACACAAAAGGTGATCACATAATCTTGGGACGCTGCAGCGGTCATAAATATGAGTCAGTTGTCAAGCATCCAAATTTTGATCACACGATCAGAGGTTGCTGCAATGGTTATAAGCATGAAAAATGGTCATAAGTCACTTTTTTCAGTGTAGTTGTAACGTCAAATGGTCATTAAACAAATGATTGTAAGTCAAGGATTATCTGAATTGGTTTTATGATCTATACATAATTGAATGTCTTGTTATAAGCATTGATTCAAAGGAGATTTTGAATTTTTTAAAAAGTATTCATATGACACTAGCAATAGTCCACAACTTACAACCATTCATTTAGAACATGTTCAAAGTTACAACAGGATGAAAAAGTGATGTATGGTCCTCACACTTAAGACCATTGCAGAGTTCTCATGATCATGATTGGATGCTTTGTGACCGGCATATGTCTATGAGGATTGCAGCATCCCAGGGTAATGTGATCTCCATTTGTGATCTGCCCAGCAGGCTTCTGACAAGCAAAGTCAATGGGGGAAGTCAGATTCACTTATAACCATATAACTTATGTCATATAACCTTATCACATAGGATTTAAAAATCTTAAAACAACAGGAAATGAAATAATTTTGAATCCAAGATTAAATGTACATCACTTTTCTCGGCTCTTAAAGTAGTTATTTTTCTAATTGATAGACTATTAAATTGAATGATTTTCTATCATTTCATCTTAAACTTCCTCTAAATAATGAAGCATCTGTCCCCATTCCTACCCCTAGTTCAGAGGTGACAAACTAGTTCAGCAGCGTCACAGCGGCATCATGTGATGTATGACCTTTTTCCTTTTGCTAAACTGGACGTGGCCAGCGTGTGACACATCCGGGCCGCAAGTTTGACAGCCCTGCCCTAGTTAAGCTTGATGATTAAAGTACTACGTGCTAAAGGCTAGTGACTTGAGGTTTTAAAAACTTACTCAGATTTGATGTTATTTGAACATCAAAAATATACAAAAAATATAAAAACCAATTGAGGTAGTGATTAAGGTATCAGGCTAGAAACCAGGAAAACACAGAAGCCAGCTGGTGACCTTAGGCTAGTCATTTTTCTCTCAAGCCCGAGGAAACAGGCAATGGCAAACTACTTCTAAAAATCTTGCTATGAATCACTGACTCAAGAGTTGTGCAGATATACAGGCAGTATATGAGCTATAAAAATATCAATCTTTAGAGCTGGACATTTAGCAGAATCATTTAATTGCATTTACACTATTATCTCTGCTTTTGGAAAGTTGAGTTTTTAGTATTGAGTGGAAAGTCTTTAAATTAGGAGTTTGGTAGCACCTTTTCCAACTAAGAAATGTAATTAAAAAGCATAACCAGTGTGACAAAATGAGCTACATCTTACAAAAACTTATTCCATTTAATACAATTTGTTAGTTGGTGCTATCAGACAACTGAATTTTTTTGCCAGCCTAGACTAACACAGCTCTCTTACAAATGAAGAAAGTCAATTTTTACTTATGTCCTCCTGTCCTGTGTTACCCCATCTACAGATATATCACAAAAGCTAGAAAAACAGAAGGTGAGCACAGGCGAGTCAGAAATAATTGCCTTCTTCCAGTGGCTGAAATAATGACAATTACAAAGGCTTTAATTCATAGACAGTCATAATATGTAACTTAAATTTTCAGCATCTTGGATTAAATAGATCTGCTTCACATTTACCATTTGCAATGTGGTAGAGTTGATGTTTTTAAACACACAAATGTACTTGATGTACCTTTATTTAAAATTTGTACATATTTGTATAATACATATCTTGTCATATTTGATAGTAAAAAGTTTTGAACCCAAATACTTTTGTTTTTTATATATTTGTTGGTTTCTGCATTTAACCTTCTTGCTATTGTACATAAATGTTTTTATACCTAGAAATTTCATTTTGATTCATTTCTGTTTCCTCCCATTAATTCATGTACAGGTTTTTCAGTATCAAAAATTTTTCTATCCCTCTGCCATCAGTATGACACTATCCTTGTATGATAATCACCTATATATGTCCTGTAGGGCTCTGTATTCTATGCCATTTTTTATTTTGCCTGAAGGTTATTACAGTTTGAAATTCAGTCAGTATGTCTACCAGGAACAGTTGTTATAAATTTTTCAGTTGTAAATGAGTTTGTCATAATTTTCATGTGAGGTTTGCTGGCATTTATAACAGTCTGGATCCTGAAGTGGAAAAGCACAGTACAGGTAATCCTCAACTTACATCAGTTCATTTAGTGACTGTTCAAAGTTACAAAGGCACTGAAAAAATGACTTATGACCATTTTTCACACATGACATTTGAAGCATTCCTATGATCATGTGAACAAAATTCAGATGCTGGGCAACTGTTTCATACTTATGACCATTGCTGTGTCCCAAGATCATCTTTTGCAATCTTTTCATAAGCAAAATTAATGGGGAAGCCTGATTCACTTAACAACCATATTACTAACTTAACAACTGAAGTGATTCGCTTAACAACTGTGGCCAGAAAGATAGTAAAATGGAGCAAAACTCACTTAACAAATGTCTCACTTAACAACAAATGCTGGGCTCAATTGTGGTCATAAGTTGAGGACTACCTGCACTGTATTTACTTAAAATAATGAGAACTGGAGCCTGAAACATATCAACGTGTAGATATATTCTTACATTGTTTTTGACACAAGCTTGATTGGTTTAAAATGGAGCCATTTGTCCCCATATGCATTAGTATATCAAGCATTTTTTTGCTATTAAAAATATTAGCAAGATGCTTTGCTTTTGAGGTGTTATTTCTATTTCCACATTAAATGACAACTAGGCAATAAAATACTGAAATATTAGCACTATGCTCAACGATGCAAAATACCTTCAAATCATTAGTAATCCAATATTGCTGTAGTTAATTTAAAATTACCATAAAATTAGATTTAAAATTTCAGTTAGTTGCATTTTGCATATGTATACTGTACCTGTAACTTTTCTAATAAAAATTCAAACAAGTTACTTTCCAGTATTCCAGTAGATTTAGAGTATGAATAATAGCTTTGCATTTATGGCTGGAGGTTGCAAATGTAGTTTTAAAATGTATAATCTTAAATTCATTTGAATCAGGATGAGAATCCAGACATTTTCTCAGCGCTTTACTGAGTCAACTCGAGTGTTTCTTTCCTGCCTTGAATTGATAGAAGTATTTAGTTTAATGTAGAAAGCTACAAATAACTCCCTGAACATATGGGTTTGGATGGGAAAAACAGTCCGATCACTTTGGCATCTATAATTATTTAAACCAGAGGTCCTCAAACTTGGCTACTGTAAAGACTTGTGGACTTCAACTCCCAGAATTCCTCAGCATAGCTGGCTGAGGAATTCTGGGAGTTGAAGTCCACAAGTCTTACAGTTGCCAAGTTTGAGGACCCCTGATCTAAATGTTGATATTGAAAAAGAACTGAAAGACATCGGGGAATGGAGGATACCTCAGCTCGGCCCTAGTGGCAGCAAAGCGCCTTTTTATTGATAGGTTTATAACTTCATACGGCCTTGATCGCGGCAGAGCGAAATCGAGTCCGTTGAAGCCGCTTTCTCCCGAGTAGGCCCTCGGCGGAAGCCACCAATACTGCGAGGACTGGGAGTTGCTTGGGTCCCAATTTGCGACCTATAATTATGGCATCATCCAATCGTCGCCGCTCGCTGTCACCAGGTAACAAACCCTTCCCTACAGCAAGAGCCTTGGAGAAAAGACTACAACTCCCAAGTGTGCTTGCAAAGGAAATGCCTGCCCCGGAATTAGAAAATCTTATTGCGGGCGAAGATGTTTAAGAGCGGGCTGTGCCCACATCCCGCCAACCCGCTTCGCCCATCAGATTTCCGCGTTAAACTCCGCTCGTCAAGGAGGCGCTTACGCTGCGGGGTGTGTCGCAAGAGCAAAGAACCAAGCACGGCCCCTGCAGCTCAGAGCAGTCACGTGACCCACTCGTGGCCCTGTCAGCTGATCTCTGCTAAGCCGTGGCGGTCGTCTAGTTGGTGATGGAGTTTCTTCTCGGCAATCCTTTTAGCTCTCCGGTCGGACAGCGCATTGGTAAGTGGCCGCCTGATTCTTGCCTTACGCTTCTACAATGCCCCCCACCCCACCCCCGGTGTCTCCCGACTTCGACCGCTCGCGTGATCGTAGCTTTAAACTCCGGATTTTACCTCAAGTCAGTGTCTAACTGCGGGAGGGGCGGAGCTTATAAATCACAGAGGCGGGGTTTTGATATTTTTTTTCTTCTGGCCGATGGGGATAGGACAGTTCTTCTGACGGACAGTTCATACTGATCAATGGGCTATGATCGAGGAGGCGGGTTCTTGGGGGAAGGCCTTGTAAGCCAATCCTGTCACAGTAAGAGTATGGAGGGGGGTCTCGAAGAAGGGATAAAGTTTGCTTGTTTAAAGGGGACGAGCCTCTGGTGCGAACGTCACGCCCCCGGAAGGCTGGTCGCTGCCTGCAAACGGTTGAGATAATTATAAAAAGATCTTCAAGTTTGAAGAAATGGCTCATGTCGCAAAAGCAGGAATTGGCAAACTCTGAATGGGCGGAGGCCTACATGCTTGCTTCCTCTGGTCTTCCCGGTGACCGTCCACAAGAAGCAGACTACAAATTCCATCTCTCCTAGGTGCACGGAATTTTTCAGTCTGTCCCATGGGGATGGCACTCAATGGGGGGACAAAATGAGAAATGGTTGGCTGTTCGGAGCACTAAACCAATTAAAGTCCAGTCCTAAAGTGTCCTAAGCAGCATTTAAGTCACTGATGACCTGTGGCCTTACTGCTGTTGCTGAATCGCACCTTTGAAGCCTTGCTCATTTTTCATCATACAAGCTGGGGCTCTTGGGAAGTGTAGTTCTCAAATGTTTACAGAATTACGTGTTCTCTTACATGCTGGCTTGAGAATTCACAAAATTGTCCTTAGTTGTGCCTGGGTAGCTAGGTTTAACCTTTGTTAATGTTTAACACAACACTTAATGGTCTAATAATGGGCTTTTTTCTTATTTTTATGAATATGTTCTAAATTAAGGATCTTAGGACAGGTTTCAGCAATGGATCCTATACTCGAGGGGTGTCAAACTTGCAGCCTGCAGGCCACGCCTACCCCCAGTTTAGAGAAAGGGGAAAAAGTTGTGATACGTCACATGATGCCATGTCATCACAAGTTTGACACAAGTTTAACACCCCTGCTATATGAGCAAAACATAAAATCACCAAACCGGTAGTTACACTGGTTGGATCCCACCCCTGCATGATCTGTTTCATTCACAAAAATCCCATGTGACTTAACTAAAATATACTTTTGATTTAAATCTGAAGTTAAACTTGCTAAATAAGTTCTTTGCCTAAATTCATATGCACGTACCAGTATATGCTGTTCATAATGCTGGGTAAAATCTAGATATTAAAGACATTAAAATCAACTGAAACAAACTCCGTATTTTGGAATGTGCTTGGATGGTAATAAATGTTAAAAGCATTAACAAATAAATCCCCTTCTGTCTTTAGTGGATAAAAAATACATAATAGTTTTTGATGATACCTGAGTCCTTGGACACTAAAACCTTCATAACCGGTAATTCTTAACACTTTAGTAATGTGTCATAAATTGCCAAATCACCACACCCTGACAGCAGGCTAACATAGATCTTGCTGAGTTTGCCTATAAGAACAGGCAATACTCACACATACCGTATATACTCGAGTATAAGTCGACCCGAATATAAGCCGAGGCACCTAATTTTACACAAAAAACTGGGAAAACTTATTGACTCGAGTATAAGCCGAGGGTGGGAAATGCAGCAGCTACTGGTAAATTTCAAAAATAAAAATAATTAATTTGGGAAACGATCTCACTATCATGAAAGGTTTAATTGATTCACTAACCCAAAAGAAGAAGATGATGATGACAGCGGGAGGCAGGAGTCACTCTCTTCCCCTCCCTCGGAGGCCCCCTGAGTCAGGAGTCACTACCGCCGGCGCGGCCCCAGTCCCGCCGCCTCGGGAAGGGAAAGGCAAAGTGCTTTTTGCCTTTCCCTTCCCGGCTGGGGCTGTTGGGAGTCGCTGCCGCCGGAGGCCGCGACTCCACACCATTTTTTTTTTCAGAGGGGAATCTGACTCGAGTATAAGCCGAGGGGGATTTTTTCAGCACAAAAATTGAGCTGAAAAACTAGGCTTATACTCGAGTATATACAGTATTACTTGTTTGGAATATCAAATTTGCTGGCACATTTATTTTTATGGTCTTCTAACTAGAATTGTTTATTGGTGTCAGGTGAGATTTAAACTGCTTTGTTCATTCCATATAGAAGCTATATGGCCTGAGTTAGACTTCTAGTTGTTGATGGTTCTAATTACAGTTCCGGAGCTAAATTTAGCATCTAACATTCACATCACTATCGAGGGCCTTGTGTCTTAGAAAAGCTTCATAAAAGGAATAACATTCAGTTGTCCTTGTTTTTCCCCACTTCAAATGCAAAAAAGATATGAAATGTTATAACTCAAAATCTATTTCATTGATACATGTTTATTTGATAGGATGAGGCTCTTTTATGAGGTCTCAATCTAAAGAGGTGTTCAACAGAATGTTCAACACAGCCATGCTTGAGAACAGTGGAATTAGTTGTTGCACTAAGTGCAATTTTCGTGTGTTTCAAGGGCAGATTGACAACACTATGCTATAATCTAGATTGAAGTTTAGCAATTAAGAGACCATTAGAGACAGTCCAGGCCAGAAAGTGTTGCAACCAGGCATACTTGGTCAGCTATAGGCCTAATAGTAGTACATATGTGGGGCATGAGTAAAGAAGGTGACCTTTTAAACTTCAATAAAAATACAGTAAATAAAAAAGAAAATGACTTTAATGAGCAGAGGAAAGCTCCATTACTAGGACAACAAGGAGATAAATATTACTGAAGCCCAGATGATGGGGAAGTGTTAAGAAAACTTATCAGACAGATGCCCCCCTAATTTACCTTAATAGAAAAAAATGGAGAAGCACATTCAGATTTGTTATATTCTGTCTTGATAACCATCTTAAGATACCAGTCTTAATAAAAAAAAATAGCTTTAGATACACATGGTATCTGTTTCTTAGTCTGGACTACTTTATACTGCTGACAGTGAGCAAGAGGAGCACAAGTAAGTTGTACTCCTAATTTTTTCAAAGCTCCATCAAGCAGTCTTCCACAGCCTATTTGTCCTGCAGGATTTGCAGATCCCAGGGAACTCCTACATAAAAATTATGCCTACAGTTAGTATTGTTTGATAGATGAAGATTTTTTTTCAATCAAACTCATCACCCCTAGCAAGTTCAATGAACCCTAACAACTTAATCAAGGAGAGAAGCAATCAAGGAGAGAAGAAATTTCCTGACAGAACAATTAACCAGTGGAATAATTGCCTCCAGAAGTTGTGAATTCTCCAACACTGGAAGCTTTTAAGAAGAGATTGGACAACCATTTGTCTGAAATGGTGTAGGGTTTCCTGCTTGAGCAGGGGGGTTGGACTAGAAGACCTCCATGGTCCCTACCAACGATGTTCTATTATATTCTAAACCTGTCACAGATCCCTAGGATTTCATGGAAGAATCCCTGTGAGAAAATATGATCTAGAATCAGAGACCTACTAATTTCCTGAACCATGAATTTTCAGTGTTGGAATTGAAGTTCACTTTACAATCTTTACGCAGCACTATGTATCCAGGTGAAATCAAGTGGCACCTAAATCTGATAAATTAAACCTGAGTGATGGAGGGATAGAGTTGCTTCGTAATAGCATATTTGTGACACTCTGTTTCAAACACCTTAATAATTTAATAATTTCTACCAGTGGCTTTTTATAAATATTGTTTTGTTATCTTATCCAATCAGTTAAGAAGCAGGCTTTAGGGCCTTTAGACTTCAAAAGACCTAGGACCAGAATGTTAGTAATTTGCCCAGAAGCAGGCAGGAGAAAGATCTCCAATGCACTCTTATATATCTAATATATTTTAAACATATTGGTTTCACAGCTTTCAGTTAATAGTATTCATTATTTTAAAAACTGAACCACACCTTGGAAATCCCAAGAAGCTCTGGCACCTAAGTGTTTCAGTTTGCTAGATGACTGTGATGCTAGACTGTTATTATCACCTTATTACAGAAATTCATTCAGGAAAAATAGGTGGCATTTTTAATCTGCTCTTCTAAATGAAATTTCTTCTTCTTTCATTTGTCCTGTTTGTTGCTTGCTTGTATTACTGTGGATAACTTCTCCTCTTTTCCATTAGCTAATTACTTCTTATTACCAGCTAGTACTGGTTTAAGTCTAGACATCCACTTTTTGGTGGTGATGGTGGTGGTACTTTTTTTATATATACCGGCAGTAGTTTTCCCTGAAAACTGCTGCCTGTATATGCACTTATGCACTGATTGCGTGGTTAAACATTAGCACTAACAGCTTGTTGGTCATCACCCTGGCATTAGCAACATTGTGGAGAGAACATGATCCATCTACAGTATAAGATTCTATTGTGTACATTATTTTCTCTGAAGAATCTTTCATACATTAGAATTGTGCAATATTTGATTCCAAAATAGAAAAGATGGTTTAGATTCAGTATGGGCATCATATCTTTTTCTACAGTGTGAATCTAGTCATGCAGGCTCAGGAAAATATTGAGTTCAGGATGTACTACAGAAGTAGGGGCAGAGTGCAGCTACATGTTGCCAACTCCTTCCTTACTGCCTCTATAACATCTCTGAAATCAAGTACTTTCCTTAGCCTGCACATCTCTGGAGATGGCAACTATTGAATAGACTATTATAACCAAAAGCTGGATAAGCAAACAAAGCAAAATATCAAAGGATTTTCAGCAATAGGCCACATGACTAATGACTGGGATGGAGGAACACAGTCGCCTTAATAATGTATGGTCAAGGTTTAATTATTGTTTAGAGTTGATGTTTTGTTGTATGTAATTGTTCAAATACGCATAGCTTTTTCTGTTCATTTATTTGTTTTGATTAGATTTTTGTAGTATCACTTTATCTATTTGGGTTTTTTTTCTTTTGTTATAGTTAAAAAGCATTTTTAAAGAGTTACCGCATGACTAAAGACTGATAGCAAAACACATAGTGACTGTATCATGGGAGTAAACAAAAGGATTACTAGGCACCCTAACTGATTGGCTTGGTCCCTGCTGTATATCCTAAGGAGAATGGGCCCTACAGCTAGAGATTTTTTTCAAGAGATATTCCATCTTTAATTTTGGACAAGATCATGCTTCATTATACTGAACTGATTTACTCTGAAAGGGTCCTTTATGATTCACAGCTCCTATTTGAGGAGCAAGTAAAGCTGTATATGAAATCTAAGCCAACTCACCATAGCCACGACAAAAATTAAAATGTTTTCATTATTTTAAATAATTAAGTTGAATTGGCCACAGTGTGTTTCGCTCATTCCACTCTGCGTTAGGCAGCTCCAATTAATGCACTAACTGCAAACTTTCCCAGAACAAAAGATTTTATAGCCATTCACTCTTTTGTTAATTTATTCCGTTGCAACACCATGTACACTGTGCTATTGTTTTTTTTTAAAAAACAAGTTTTATTAATTTCAAAAAACAAACAAATCATCATCAACCATTACACATTTGAACCTTTTTCCATTATAGATTTAACAAGTCAGATAAAACCTTATCTTATACAATACATTTCTATATTATTTCATCTATTTCTTTCTGACTTGATTATCGTCACTCTCTTTCAATGTTTCTACAAGGTTTCACCAATACTCTCAAAAACATAAACAGACACAAACATACATATAAAAAATCTTTTAGTAAAGCAACTTGGCCCCAGGTATCTCTCTTTATATGGGCTTTAATTATATTCATGCTCATCTTACAGATCATTACTTATTTTATTTACCATTCTGTATCTTCTATATAAACTTCTCCATACATTTCACTCTTCATAATTCTATCTTATTCAATCCATCTTAATTTAAATCATTATATTTATATCTTTTGCCCATCCTTTATTATCCCTCTATCTCATTCCTTATAATGAAAAAAAAAAAAGGAATTTCTCCTGAAATCACTAATCAGAATATGATGCCTTTCTATCCTCTCCCTAAATTAATTAGATTAACATTTAAAATAACACCTAATACCCAACTTGATTCTGCTTGGTACATTCTATCTACTAATTTTTACTTTTAGTAACAATAAAAACAGAGTAAAAAATCAAAAATGTTTAAATACATAATTTCCTCCTAAATACGTAGTTAAATAATACATCTAAATAATAAATCTTATAGCATTCTCATTGCCTTTCCCTTCAATATTTTATTACATTTTAAAAATCAATCATTATTAAATATTTCAACATTTTAATTTCTATTAACTCTTAAGCCATTCTAATTTTCTATTTCTAATACAAATGTTACAATACCATCTTATGTACCTTGCAGAATCTTTTTTAAAAAAAATTATGCTTTACCCATTATCCCTAAAAAAGATTCCTCTTTTCCCATCTAATTTTAAAACTTTGTGGCTTTTCTCCGCCTTTCCCCTTTCTTTCTTCCCCCACCAAATCTTCCTACCCCCCCTTCTTCTAACCTCTGTCTTGCCAGCATCCCTTCTCTGTTGTATTCCCTTTTTCTCTTGTTTGCTATCATTGTATTTATTTTGCATCATATTTTTCTCTTTCTTAAATGTTTTTTTAGATCTTAAATCCTTCATTTTCCTCGCTTTCTTCCTTCCTTCTTTCTTAGATGAATTTTGGGATTCATTGAAGATGGCGTCTTCATCTTCTTCTTGTTGTTCTTCAGCTTCCATCTGTATTGTCTGTTCATAGTTAACCAACGCCATTTCTAAAAAAAGAAAAGCTTTTTCCATACCATCTTTACAGGCTGCTTTTGTTTGCTCATATTCATCCCTCAGTTCCTCAAAAGAAAAAGCCATTATAGATCTTTTCTTTTCTTTTTTCCCTCTTTCTTCTCACACCAACCAAAATATTCCAAAAAAAAAAATAAGACAATCCAAAGTCCACAATCCTCAATCAAGCCAAGCCAAGCCAAAATTCCCCCTTTCTCTTCCAGGGGTAGTATCAGACAAAGGAAAAAAAAAATTCAAATCTGTGTTTTGAAGCCTTATTAAGATTTTATTTCTGTTTTCAAATCCTTAAGGCATCTCCTCCAACAAAATCCAACGAGATAAATATATTTTTTGTCCTCTCCCTTCCGACTTATCCCAAAAAGCTAGTTTTACCTGAAAAAAAAAACAGGTTTCTCAATATCCATTTATTAATTCCGTCGGGGGGGGAGAGTAAACTTTCCTTTCAGCACCTCAGAATTGCCGCTTATTTTCTCTTGTGGAAAGAATCATCCAAAAAGCCATCATTTTCAGGAATTAAATTAAATATATCTTAGAGTTCTGGGTCGACCAAGAAGACTTTCACTTTTAAAAACTTTCTCCTCTTCCTCCAGCACATACTTGCCCAGCTGCCGGCTTCTTTGTGGCGGCCATTACGGACCGCCGCTGCACCGTCTTGGTAAAAGGAGGTTCTGCCGGCTAGGGAGGGGGTCTGCAGCACCCCCAAACCCTTTCCCAGATCCCCCCTACCTTCAGCTGCCCCTGCAGGGCAGCCTTGCTCCGCACCCTTTCGGATCGGAGCCCCAAAAACGGCTAGCGCGGCAGGGATCGCGCAGCTTCGCGAATCCCTACCGCTCGCAAAGCCGACAAACCGGAAATCCTCTACACTGTGCTATTGTTGAAGATCATTAGAAAGTTATCATTAGCCCAGAATGGAGCAGTTCAAATAGTTGTGGATGTTTCTGTACATTGAGAACTGCACTGGTGATCAGTTGACTTTTGTGTTAATTTGAGATGATGATTGTCACCCTTAAAGCCCTGTATGATTCTATATAACAGATAAATGTCTTGAGGACTGTCTCCCAGTTGTATTTGTCAATTCAATACCATCAGAAAGAGTAGACTTCAGGAATCCCGTCAGAAAGGACTGAGAAAGTATACTTTCCCAACTGCTCCTCCTCTTACCTGAAATATTTTTCCTAAACTCTGACTGGCCTCAATCTTGCTAAGATTCAAGAAACCAATCAAAATCTGGCTCTATTAGCAGACCATAGATCTGCTTTGAGAATGTATTCATTTAATTGAATTATATTTATTCTCTGGTGCACTGTGAATGTTATCAGTTGTAATGATCTTGTTATACTGTTTTTTTTTTCAAACAAGTTTATGTGTATTTGATTTATAAACCTCTCAGAGTCAGCAATGGCTAAAGCTGTATATAAGCCTGGTAAATTGAATAGTAGAGGTTGCTATTTTTTCTATTTCCACAGAGAAAGCTACTGATGGCTCCTTACAGAATGAAGATTGGGCTCTTAACATGGAAATCTGTGACATCATTAATGAGACAGAAGAAGGGTAAGGAAACAAGTGCTGAAATCAATAGCCATTTTCTGGATAGGTTCACTGTTGATTTTGCATTAGCCTGCACATTTTCTGAGATCCTTGAAGACACACCCAGCTCAGGAAAATGATACATGTAACAGGGAGCATTGATATAAAACATAAAAGCTCAACACTGAGTCTTGTGATGATTTTCAAAAAGGAGCATACTGCTCAAACACTCTTTTTGTTATCGATGCCAAAAATTCCATTACTAAGTCGTAATACTTTGCACAAGGATAAAATAAATCTTACAGGCATTTCCTGAAATCTTAGAAAATAAAAATATTCTTAATTCTCTCGTTAATATATTTTTCTTTAGGTCTGTTAATGTTTATTGTTAATTCTTTAATTCAAATTATTTCCTTTCACTTTTTAGTGCCTCATTTTCAGGTATCTTCATTAAGTTTAGGAGTCTTGGTTCTTTTAATTCATGTGAACAAAAATGTGGGGGACAGAATCGTTTAATGTATTGTGGAGAAGAGTTGCTCTTTTTGTGCTTTGGTGATTCCAGTGTCTAACTGAAGAAGAACAAACCTGATTCTGACTCTTGTTGCTGGCAAATTGCAAGCATATATTTTGTTCGTTTTTCAATGTTAATACTTTTATTATCTGACCTTTGCTATTGTTAGGCCCAAAGATGCTTTTCGAGCCATAAAGAAAAGGGTTGTTGGAAATAAGAATTTCCATGAAGTGATGTTGGCTTTGACGGTGAGTATGGAGCAGATTTCTCAGTTACAGTGGATATAGAAAATATATCCACCCTTTAAAATGGCAAGTTTTTGAGATGAAAAAAAAAATCAGATCAAGGTAGTTCATTTCAGAATTTTTTCCATTTTTAATATATAAGCTATAAAATTCAATTGAAAAACAAACTGAAAATTTTAAGGGAAAAATAATAAGAAACCAGAATAATGTAGCTGCATAAGTGTGCACATCTTTAAACTAATACTTTGTTGAAGTACCTTTTGATTTTATGTCAGCATTCAGTCGTTTCCCACATGCTTTTGTCAGACCTGCTATAGGTTTTTGCAAAATGTAGCTGGGCTTGGATGCTTTTCTTTGTGACAAAAGTCTCTCTTTTGCCATTTACCCCACAGCCAAGGCAAATGGTTAATTGGGAGATTGTTGTCAAATGTAGTACACAACTTGCTCAAAATTCCTGCAGCTCCTTTAATGTTGCCATAGGCCTTTTAGCAGCCTCTCGGACCACTTTTTATCTTGTTTTTTCATAAATTTTGGAGGGATATCTGGTTTTAGGTGATGTTGTTGTGTCATATTTTCTCCATTTGTTGATAATTGGCTTCACTGTGTTCCATGGTATATCCAATGCCCTACAAATTTTTTGTACCCTACTTCTGACTGATATCTTCCAACAATGAGATCCCTTTGATGCTTTCTAAGCTCTTTGCAGACCGTGGCTTTTGCTGTAAAAGGTAACTGAGTAAATGTCAGAAAAATCCTACTAAAATAGCTGAACTTTAATTGATGGCACGTGTGTACTACTATTTACCATCATTTTGAACATGAATAATTCTGAACACAGCCACATCCCTGGTTATAAGAGGGTCTGCATACTTATGCAGCCACATTATTTTAGTTTTTTATTATTGTGTTTCTGCATAAAAAATGCAGTTGTTTTTCAATTGAATTCTATAGCTTATACGTTGTATTAAAAGTGGAGGAAATTCTGAAGGGATTTTCCAATATTTGAGGGGCTCATACAAAGATGAAGGGGTTAAGCTATTTTCCAAAGCATCAAAAGGCAAGACAAGAAACAATGGATGGAAACGAACTAAGGAGAGAACTAAAGAGAAAATTCCGAATGGTAAGAGCAATCAGCCAGTGGAATAGCTCGCCTTCAGAAGTTGTGGGTGCTCCATCTCTTGTCTGATGAACTGAGTGAGAGGCAGTTGTGCCTCATTAGGAGGGTGCTAGCAAGAGGAAAAGCTGTTGTAGTTGCTTTACCTTAAGGATATACCTGGAAAAGAGGAGTGACCTCTAACCTAGAATACTAATTTTTCATGTAAGTAATAAGCACAAGTTTTTTTAAAAAAAGGTATAATGTGAAGATTGTATGAATTAATTGAAAGGCAGAGCAAATACATTTGCCTGTAAAAGAATATTTTTTATTGGCTTAACATGAAACAATCATATCTTTCTACTTGCCTGTGAACACTAAGGCTAGTTTTTGCAACTTTTTAAAGCGATAGCTGTAATGTGGTCAGAAAATGCAAGTAAACCAGAAGTAATTTCTAATACATCTTGTTTGACTTTGCAGGTCCTTGAGACATGTGTCAAAAACTGTGGCCATCGCTTTCACATATTGGTTGCTAGCCAGGATTTTGTAGAAGGTGTATTAGTACGAACCATCCTTCCCAAAAACAATCCTCCAGCCATTGTACATGATAAGGTGCTGACCCTCATCCAAGTAAGTGCATCCCTCTCAATCTTTCTGTCTTTCAGAGAGACCTCCATGTATAAGAACAGACCCACAGTTACTTTGCCTAAACCACAAGCCAGATTATTTTCATGGCAGTATGTAATATATGCTTATTAAATAGAAGTAAACTTTCTATCCATACTTGTATAGTTATTCCTGAGGATAACTGAAATCTGAAACGTTTATGTACCTTGTAGATTATTCAATTTACATAATATCATATCTTGTATAAAATAATAATTATAAATAATATCACACCTTATTTTGTATAAATAATTATGTTACTGTTCATGGAAAGAGGCAAAACACAGGCAACAGTCTGAAGCTATCTTTTTAACTCATGAAACCTACTGTTTCTTTTAGATCTCAGCTAGAGTAGCTTACAGGTTACAAGCCTACATCACAGGAGCTAGAAACTTAACATTGTGGGTGGTGGACGAATTTGATAAACATTTTTGAAAAATTAAAATCAGGTTTTCTAACAGCCGTTTATGCTGCTTGTGTTACCATATATCTAGTATTCATCAGATCATTCCAGCAGTTAGACTCTGACCAGCCCATGCAGCCAAACACCTTTAAAAACGTTCAAATCTGATAACCGTTCTCTGCTTTTGATGCACACTTTGCTTTTCTTGCATGCTTAACAAAATCATAAATGTTCATGCTTTTAAAAAAAATTAGGAGTTTAAAAATCAAAAAATGTAATGATTTTCCTGTCTTTCTAGTCCTGGGCTGATGCCTTTCGTAGTACACCGGACCTGACTGGGGTTGTGACTGTTTATGAGGACCTGAGGAGAAAAGGCCTGGAGTTTCCCATGACAGATCTAGATATGCTATCACCCATCCATACACCCCAGAGGGTAAATGTTTAATGCACAACAATTCTTTATTTGCATTACAAAATATTATATGAATAATATATGAAATATATCTTAGAGGTATTGATGTTGATTTGCTCCATTTTTTCTCTTTTCAAATTGATGCATGTTATGAAAAAAATAATGAAAGAGCTGGATGCCAAGTGTTGAGGTAATTCCCCGTTAGGAGAATGAGTGCACACACTGAGACGTAGTGAGAGTGGTGAGGAATAACACACAACCAGCACACAGATATACTGGATAGTAAAATGTAGGTTTTTACTTCCAGTAAACGGTTAAGCAAATTCCAACAAGCAGTCCAAGTCATACATGGTTAAAGCAGTCAGTTTTTCAGTCCAGGGATAATCCAAATATCAAAGTCCAGTATCATAAACAGTTCAGTAACAGACATAGCAATCCAAGAAGAACGACGATCAGCAACAGTAAATAGGGAAAAATTCAGGAACCAAAAACAGCGAACATCAGAACATAGACCAACTAGCAACTAGCAACAACAGGACTAAACAACCCAGGTTTCTGGCTCCGTCTTATGGCCGTTTGAGGAACCACATCCAATTACAATTTTAGCATTCCCTTAAAGAGACAGTATTAAATGTCTATCCTGGTTTATATATTTCCAACCCAACTATTAGGTGACTATCAGTTCCTAACACCAAAATACATCAAGTGTAGTGAAAGTAAGCAGATCCTTTGTATTCAAAGGGGAATGTATTGCTATCATAATCAAAGTCTAAGAACTATATAGAATTTAAGAAACACGCTTCATAAACACTGTAAGACATAGTTGAGCGTTCTGAACACAAACTACCTATGCAGTTTTGGACATTTCTCCGAAAGCACACAATCTAGTTGAAAGTCTGCTTTGCAACATATTTCATCCTATCTGCTGCTTGCTACTCATGCAGAGAAACGGAAAGAACCAGGCTGAAGTGACCGCTTTGGAAGCCCCAGAGAAACAGTAAGAGGAATGGGAAACACTTTGAGCTTCAGGACTGGCTCGTTACTTAGATAAAAGGAAAACACCATAATTATGGGTAAAAAACAGCATATAATATACTGGGCTGATTTTTTTTTGTAGAAATAACTGAACTGTTCTTTCTCTCCTTTATGGGTTTCTCTTTAGACTGTATACACTCCACCAGATTCCCAGCCAGGAGTTATTCCATCAGCAGATTCTCCTCAACCAATAGATTCAATCCTGCACCCTGTATCTTTACCACAAGTTCCAGAAATTGCAGCTGATGCCTCTATCACACCTACAGCAGACCAGGTAAGAGCCACACGAACCACTCCCT